GTTCACCATTCTCAGTCAAAAGAAGATAATTGACTGATGGATTATATTTTTTAGGAGGCCTAGAGACTCTGGTGGATCTCCTGACCCAGTGTGATTCAACTGGTTGAGGATGTACCGGAGATGATGGTTCTTCTTCGTCCTCTGAACTTTCGTTGTTGACAGTGTCTTCTTGAACATCTTCATACTCATCATTATTCTGAAAATCAGACTCAGTACTCCCACTATCATGAGTATCTTCTGGCCCTCTGATTATGATGTCATCACTTTCAAACTCAACTTGTTTTTTCTGATCTTTTGAGTTTACTGTGCTTCTGTCTTTATAAAGTTCAGCCTCATTGAAAGTTGCATGTTTACTTCTGACTACTTTTCTGCTTTCAAAATCCCAAAGCCTGTAGCACATACTATCAGAGCCATATCCAATGAAAGTGTATTTCTTGGCTTTTGCATCCAACTTGTCACCATCTTTCTTTAAGTCATAGGCACTGCATCCGAACACCTTCAAATGCTCATACTTGATTGCTTTACCTTTCCACTCTTCCTCTGGAATCTTGAAGCCCAACGGTACTGATATTCCTCGGTTGATAAGATAAGCTGCAGTGTTAATGCATCAGCCCAGAAAGTCTTTGGAAGATCAGCATTAAGCCTCATACTCCTAGCCCTCTCATTCAAAGTTCTGTTCATTCTTTCTGCCACTCCATTCTGCTGAGGAGTGCCTGGAACCGTCTTTATCATCCGAATGCCATGTTCAGCACAATAATCAGTGAACTCTGTGCTAATGTATTCCCCACCGTTATCCGACTTCAAGCACTTTACTTTTAAGTTAGTTTCCAATTCAACAGCGGTTTTCCATTTCTTAAAAGTGTTGAAGACATCAAACTTATTTTTAAGAAAATAAACCCATACCTTGCGTGTTGAATCATCGATGAAGGTCACATAGTAGTTCGATCCTCCTACGGAAGAAACTGGTGTTGGTCCATAAACATCTGTGTGAACAAGCTCTAGTTTCTGAGCTTTTGGTGTCTGACCCGTCTTCGCAAAGGATACCTTCTTTTTCTTGCCAAGCACACAGGGTTCACAGAATTCGGAATCCACCCTTTTTAAATTTGGGAGCTTGCCTCTGGCAACGAGCATCTTCATTCCCTTTTCACTCATGTGGCCGAGTCGTTGATGCCACAATCTGGATGGTTTCGTCCCGCTGGTCACTGCATTCACCTCATTGTCGGGAACATCGACCATGTATAAGGTGCCTCGCTTTTTGCCTTTGGCGATTACAAGGTTTTCTTTGACAACCTTCCATTGCCCTTCACCAAAAGTGACTTTGAATCCCTGGTCATCCAACTGCCCAGTAGAAATTAACATTTTCTTAAGGCTTGGAATGACTCGAAYGTCCTTCAATGTCCAAGTGGTACCCAATGAAGTCTTTATGTCTATGTCACCTATTCCTGTGATGTCAAGAGTGCGATGGTCAGCCAAA